GGCAGATGTTTTTATTGCAATTAGCGTTAAGTAAATATGTTTCTCTGTGTCGCCATGGTCTTCAGAAGATGGAGCAACTTGTTCCTTTCTGAGTTAATAGGACCTATTAAAATCATGTTGTAAGGTCGAAACTTATATGAAAAGAGTCAACAAGCTCATTTTAATTTCTTAAATGCTCTTTGAAAAGTTGGAGAAAAGGCTTAGGAGCTTTGAGGAATGTAAAAATGCGACTTTTGGAACCCAAAACTGACTGTCAAGTGATTAGGCATTGTGGAAGTGTTCGACAGCCAGCTATCTTCTTTCCTTCTAATTGCAATCCAGTTTGCCTCCCGGAATCTGGTAAGTAACCTAACTAACCTTAATGGGCTCGATAGCAGCTGAGTGGCGATCGCCGGGAACAATCGCCATCGGACGTTTTCCACATTCGGCATGTCCGTTCACACGAATAATTGCCCCATCCGGTGCTCTTTGCTGACGTAGGGCTGCATCCCATCGCTTCATCGATTCCTCTGTTGACAAACTGACTCCGACACTCAATGTGTTGGTCTCTAGCGCAGCCCTTTAATGGACATTCTTTTTCCGGTTGGTGGTTAGGTCTTCTTAACTCAGTAATTAAAGTTTTCTCAGTCATTTCATATTTACAGTTTATTTTAACCCGTCAAATTTAAGGCATGATCATTAAAATCATAACTGAATGGAGTAAGTGAACTTTCGAATTAGACTAGAAGTCAAATGGTGATGTACATCACTAAAAACAACCTTTTCTGCTTGCCTTGCTGATCTGCTGCCAACACCATATTTTATGTAATTCTAATATGAAGTTCAGTTATATGAAACCTTTATAAACTCTTTCTCGTAACCACTTTCATTAGATACCCCGAAAATTTAACACATTTGAGTACTTATCTTTCTTTGAAAATGATTTATTCTGTACTACCTTACCTTCATTCGCAACAATTTCATGTTATCGTAATTTGATCACCACTAAATATTGCATGAACTATTTGCGAGCGTAACTTCCATAGAGAATCTATATAAGTGTTTTTCGGACATCTTCAAATTGTGGTGCATCGCGCATACTAATGAATTTTCTGCACCAGTTTTTGTGGAGAAACAACTAATTAAAGAACAATCCTTTCTGTCTTCTTTGCATCAATCCACTTTGGCAGACAGATATGGCAGAGTTTAGATAGTAGCTTTGTTTCAGAGAGGTGAAATGAACCCACCAAATATGTTTAAAAAAACGGTCGAGAGGTAAATGTTCTCCTGAACTCCAATCAATGATGCTGCCATGGTGACGATGATGCATTCAATGAGTTTAGTAGAGCTCAATGACTTCTTTTAGCAGAACTTACTAAAGTTTTGGAATGCTCGCTCAGGGCTTATTGTCTTTTCGTATATGACTTTTGCTTAAATCATATAAAAGTCGATTTATTACTGAAGCACATGTTTTTTTGAAATTGGACCAATCGAAGGAAAGTTTTTTTGCTGCAATGAAAACTGTGCAATAATAACTGACCAAAATAGAGGCTAGTCTTTCCAACTTCTAAAATCTCTTAGTCAGGTAGGTGTCTGATCCGTTTTTACACCTTTATCGCTTTATGCTCTTTATCTGTGTATATCTCATTTTTACAGTCGTGAGCTCATTAGGAAAATTGCTAGCTATAAATCAATCGGTGAAGTGTTTCTATTGAGTACCAATCTTCTTTTGTCTTAGACCTTATAATTTATTGCTTGGAGATAAAGGCCACAGTCATGACTGAGAATAATCGTTTGATAAATTTATTTTCACAATCTTTCAAACTTTTTTCCTGTAGAAATGTTTGTTTACGTAAACAAATATGATTTAGAGAGGTTAGCAGGTTGGCTTTAGCTTCATTTTTTTG